GTTCATTATTCAACAACCAACTACATAGTGGATTTTGAGGACGTAGAAGGATTACCCCACCTTCGAACCTCGTTAATGTTTGCGTGTCTCTCTCTTTTATCTTTATTCTTACTTGCAATTATATTAACTGTGAAAACTAACCCATCCATATTGATTACTGCTCACTCTACCCACCAAATTCCGCACACAATCTAAAGTTCACAAGGACTCTAGATTAACACTCATTTTCACGTTTTCAAAAGAAACGAAAAAGATTTTAAATCTGTAACAAAGTCTATTCACCCCCCCCCTCTAGACTTTGTATTTCACCACTTTGGGACCACCAAAAGATCACCAGGGGCACCTAATGAACCAAGTGATCCAAAAACTAAAGAAGTTCAAAGGTCCTTTGAAGAGCCTGAATAGGAATAAGTTTAAATCATTGGATGACCAAATAGAAGAAACCAGATCAAAACTTAATGAAGTTCAAAGGGTTCTAAGAGAGGAAGGATCTAAGCCTACTGACTTAAAAACAAAAAAGGATCTAAGGAATGATCTGCAAATGAAATTGAAAGCAAGGTTTCTAATGTGGATCCAACAATCAAAAGTAGACTGGATATCAAAGGGGGGACCAGAACTCTAAACTATTTTATGCATGGGTCAAGAAGAAGAAACTCCAAAATCAAATCACCTCAATTACTAACTCAAAGGGGGAGGTAAAAGAGGGAAAGAATGAAGTGGGACAAGTCCTGGTAGAATACTATCAAATTCATCTGGGAACAATGGTACTGACAGATGATATAGACAAGGATATTGTGGATATGGGAGAATTTCTCTCTATTGAACAGCAAATGAAGCTAATATCCCCAATATCTTCTGAGGAAATTAGAAGTGCTGTTTTTGATATTCCCAACCAAAAGAGCCCTGGGTCTGATGGCTATAGTAGTGGATTTTTCAAAAATCAGTGGCACAACGTGGGTGCTCTCATAACAAGTACAGTATAGGAGTTCTTTCAGAAGGGGGAGACAGTCAAGCAAATCAATGCAACCAATATCATTTTTATACCAAAAAAGGAGTTCCCTAAGAGCCCATTGAACATGAGGCCTATTGCATATTGCAATGTAATCTATAAGACTATAGCAAAAATAATTTGTGGCAGGCTGAAGAGAGTGCACCCTAATATTATAAATCAAAACCAAGGGGCTTTTGTAGAGGGGAGGGAACTAGTACATACACAATGTCTTACTCTTCCAAGAACTAGCGAGAGGGTATGGTAGGAAGGGTATCTTTCCCAGGTGTTTGATGAAATTAGACATTCAAAAAACGTTTGATAATGTGAGTTGGAAGGCAATTGAACAAATGTTGGTTCATCTCGGATTCCCTTCTAAATTCTCAAACGGGATCAGATTCTGTGTCACTACCACTTCCTACTCCATACAGCTTGATGGAGAAAACTTTGACTTCTTTAAGGGTGGAAAGGGTTTGAGACAAGGGGACCCTATTTCCCCCCTTATCTTTGTCATAATCATGGAGTTTCTAACAAGAAGTTTTCAATTCTATTCTATGAAGGAGGACTTCTCTTTCCATCCTTTATGCAAATCATTGAAGGTTATTAATATAGTGTTTGGTGATGACCTGATTGTTGCAAGTAAGGCTGAAGAAAAATTCGTCCAAACCATTATGAAGGTTCTGACTCATCTTAAACATACAATTGACCTACAAGTAAATCCTACTAAGTATGAAATAATCTTTGGAGGAATATCCAAACAACTGGAGGATAGACTATCACAATCACTAATATGAGCAAGGGCTCTCTCCCTTTTAGATATCTTGGAGGCCCAATCACTACATCAAGGATAAGTGCTAATGATTGTGATAAGCTTGTGGAGAATATGTCCCAAAAAATCAAATCATGGGGGTCAAAACACCTATCTTATGCGGGAAGGGTTAACTTACTAAACTCAGTTCTATTTGGTATTATGGACTTCTTGTGCAGGATATTTATAATACCTACAAAGGTAATGTGGAAGATCCAATCAATCTGCAGGAATTTCCTTTGGAGTTCCACCCAAGAGTATAAGAAACACCCCTTGGTTGCTTGGAAAGAGATATGCCTACCAAAGAACAATGGGGGACTGGGGATCAAAAATCTAGTTCTATGGAACACAGGTAGCATCATGAGACTGGTTTGGAGTATTGCAAAGAAGGAGGACAATTTATGGATAAAATGGGTGCATGGCAGGTATCTTAAAAATAGTTCCATATGGGACTGCTCCTTAAAAATGACTCATGCTACTCCTGAAAAAAGTTGTTAAAGGTCAGGGACAGCTTTAAGGATATGCAACCTGTTGAAAACTACAACCCTGATCTAGGGTACAAGTGGCTGCTGGGGCAAACACAGGTCCCTAATTGGGGCAGTGTAGTATGGAACTGACTCTCCATACCAAAGCACAAGTTCATTCTATGACTAGTGTGGAAAGACAAGCTGCAAACAAAAAGAAACCTTGGAAAATTCATCCCAATTGATACATGTTGTATACTGTGTAAAAATGAAGAGAAAAATATACAGCATCTGTTTTGCAGCTGCTGTTATGCTCAAAAAATCTTTCAGGGGATCCAGGCATGGTGCAAATATAGATCTGAGGGGAGGACTACTGAGGAAATCATTGAGAAGTTAAAGACTATCACTCCAAGTAGAAGAATATGGATGATTATGGCTATATTTGCAGCATGTGTATATGCAATATGGAGAGGAAGGAACCACATGTTGCATAACAATGTATATATAACTAAGGAAGCATCAGTTCATTGGATTATTTATCGGAAAATTTAGCTAAATAGCACTAAAACATAATGACTTTCTCTAAATAGCATCACATGAATTTTTTCCCTAATCTAGCACTTTTAGTCATTATCCATTTGTCATTGTTCAAGTAAATATTGGTCATCACTGGACATTATGGACATTATGAAGTGATATTTAGGGAATAAAACAATTTAAGTGCTATTCAGGGAAATGACTTAAGTTTTAGTTCTATTTAGTGCAAATATTTCTTATTTATCAGATCACAACCTTCTTGAACTCCAGGGGAGCCAAACTGGAGTAGCTAGCTTTTAACATCAGCTTTTGGTCATGTATAGGGTGGTGGGTTTCCCTCACTAGTACTGGTTTTTGTACTCTACTTTTCTTTGGTGGAAATACTATTTGCATTCGGTTCAAAAAAAATATTTACTAATTATACGTGGAGTAATATTATATGCTACAATTTATTTCTTTTTCATATTTTTGTCTTTTCAGTCAACGTAATATAAGTCTAAAATATTATATACGAATTAAAATATTTTTATTAAATAAAAGTATCTGGTACTATAATATGAAATTTTATTTTTTTATTATAGTTGACCGGGTCATTGACCTAGGTTTGACCGATTCAACCGGTTAACTCTTGACCCACTACATCGTCCGAGCCGATGTCCGGTTCGATTTTTAGAACATTGCCTTAAACACTAATTTGTAGAATTTTGTGTGTTTTATAAGTTTCTGTTTCGAGTGGCTAATTGTTTAGTGTACACAACTAGCTTTTGAATCTTTTTGGGAGTTTTAAAGACTTCCTTTTATTTATGACATTTTGTAGCTTTTGGATTGAGTACCCCCTCCCCCTTTTTATACGATCCATCTTATATTTGAGATAAGGACAAAGTAAGACAACTCAAATCCGTCTCGATTTATTTTGATCCTAAATTTTATAGGATAAAATGTGATAAGATTGTAATACAAATCATTTATATATAACGGGACAAGATGTGGGACAACCTACAAATCCGCACCGTCCCGATCCGTGCCCACTCCTAGTCTGTGGTGAGGTCCCGTTGACAGCAGTGGATGAGATGGCTAAAATCAGAATTTTCTATATTAACTCAAATCCTTTCTAATTTTGTTTAAAACCTTTTGTATGTTTCAAAATGACTGAAATAAGGTTTTAAATATATTTTGAGAGTGCATTTTGAGATTGGGGATATAGGTATATAAAATTCTCTCCTCTTGTTTTGGTTTTTTAGTCAAGTAATTATATTCTTTGACCATAAATTAAACATAATCTATAAAAATAAATTTTATAATAATTTGATATATCAAAATCATATCCTAAGATGACCCTAATTGTATTGAATTTATATTATAATCCAATATAGTTTTCTTACTCCCTCGGTCCCACAAAATATTTCTTGTTTTGAATTTTAAGAAATTTAAGATGAGTGTATTTTGGTGTTGACTTTCCAAAATGCCCTTGAATGTGATAAGTAAAAGTAGATGTGAAGGGTAGATTAGTAGTGAAAAAATGTGATGTGATAGGTAGATTAGGAATTAGTAGGGGTAAAAGTGACTTTTTAATAGAAATAAGAAAAGTTTTTAAGGACGAATGAAAAAAGAAAGGAGAAAAGTTCTGGGGAATGGAGGGAGCACAATTTATGGTCAAAGAGTGTCATTATTTGACAAAAAAAGTCAAAAGAGGAAGAATTTTTAGGACCGAAGAGAGTAATAGTCTTACATATTATTCTACCTATATTATGTGCTCGCTTGTGTTTCAATTTTACTTTTGAGAACCAATACTTAATGCATTCTTGCTGTTCCTGAAACACTCAAACAAATGTTAGCTCATATAGTATTTGTTAATATCAAAACAAGAGATTTAGCAAATTAAGGCTAGCATTCTTATTTGGGCCTCTTTGGCAAGCGAAAGAGATAATTCTAACTTTCAAAAAGAGAGGAGCTTTTTTTGTACCATTTAACTTTGAATTCAAAATTGTGCGAATTCTCTCTAAACTTTAAAAATTGCACCAATCATCCCTAAATTTTATAAAATATTGCATCAATGGTCCTTTTGTTTCAAATTTGGTAGTGCGCTAATCACACGCTCATCAATATACTGGTTGGAGCTTGACGAAGACGTCATGGACTGACGAAGAGGTTGATCGATAAATGAAAAGGTTGATTGATATATAAAAGGTTAATCGGTTGACGTCCAGGCTTCGATTTCACTTACCAACGACTAAAGCAAGAATAATTATCTAGGATTTTCAAAAAGCTAAAAATGTAGAAGAAAATGTTAGGAAAAATATGTTGCAAAACTCACGTCTAGTATAAAACTAGTATTTTAACCCGTGTCATGCACGGGTGGAACAAATTATTTTTTATTGTACAATATCAAATATTTAAACAACTTAATTTATTTATAGTATATACCATTTAAATTTCATATAAATAAATGGTAGAAGTTTTTCTACATTCCTAGAACCTTAAATTGTATTGCTCATGCTCTTGCGAGAGGGGCTGGGGCGAGGACTAATGAGTGGTGGAATTCCCCCCTGACTTTGTTTCTCAGTTGATTTGATGAATGACAGTCTCTTTTACTTCAAAAAAAAATGGTCTAAGTTTACTAAATTTCTTCAAATATATACTCTTCTCACCCCTTAATTCAAAAAATATACTAAAAAAACATTAGTGATTTTATTATTCTTCTCTCTCGCATTTATTTAAAAAACTTAGATTTTTTATCCTATAATTTTACGATTAGAAAGTTCACGATTCTTCTCCGCCACATTAATTTACATTAACAAAACAATTTAATTCTTCTCTTACGCATTAATATGATTCTTCCCCCTTTGCATTGATTTAAAATTGACTCTTTTCTCCCACATTATTAAAAGCATGAAAACATAAATTAGCAATCCTATGATAAGAAATATAAATTTTACAATACATTAAATATACAATGATTATTCCCCTCCCGTATTATTTCAAAAATTATGTCAATGCAAAAAAAATATTTGCTATTTTTACTCAATTTTTTTTCTTTCATTTTTATATATAAAATCATTTAAGTCTCTGAAAGTATTCTGGTTAATACATAATGTTTTATAAAAGTACAAAGAGTTACAAATTGAAAATTACATTTTTCTTTGATGTTGTAATTGAGTCTAGATCTTATTTACTTTTGCACATTAGATATTCCTCGTACTTCTTCTTAAATTAATGATTTTTCTTAGACCTAGATTTTAATTGTCACAGTTCTTTATTTTTTGGTCTCCATACCTTAAGTTTCCCTATAGAAATATTCTTTGTGAAAGTCCATGTTATGTCTCTTTGTCTCTAAGAATAACATTTTGTTGAGTTTCTTTGTATGAATGTGAAAATGAAAAGAAGAAAGTTGAGTCACACTCCATTCATTTTTTTTATTTTCATGCATAAATATAGTGAAATATCTCCCAATATAAAAGTATAAGTGCTTAGTTACATCTTAAAAAATGGTAAGTTACAGTGTAAACTTACTTTGATTAAAATAATAAGTCAAATTAGCAAGATAAAGTGTAAAAGTCAAATTGAATATTCCTTCTAATTAATTTGGTTTAAACACTTGATAGTTTAAAAAACTAATCAAGTTATCTCTTAATTTATAGATTTCTAATGTAGGGATAAAAAACTATTTTTTATTTTACATCAATATTTAAATAAATGGAATAAAACTAACTTCACTTAATCATATCATAAATAAATATGAAATTTGTTTAGATATGAAGAGAGTAGTTTATATAATCAATGAAAGTATTATTATAAATGAAATGAAAAAATTAAAACTAAAAAATAATATTTTGATGAAAATAAATATCTCTATTCTTTATTTAAATGTACTCAATAATAGTAAAATCATAAATAATGTTAGTATAATACAATTAGTCACATCGATATATTTTACATTGATCATTTGTATTTTATAATATAATTAAAATTAGGGTTAAATATGTTTTTATACCCTATAAAATAGACAACTTTTGTTTTTAGTTTTTGTAAAATATTTTTTGTTAAAATCATCCATACAAAATATTTTATTTTGAAACAGTCTTTGAACGTAGTTAGCACATATAATTAGAAGAGATAGTATATTTATTTCATAATTAACATCTTAGTCTTGCATTTCTAATTGCGTCCAAAGCAATCTCCAAATCCTAAATGGTGTACTTATTGATATTACATATGTCCAGTTCTCAAATTTCTTAC